GTGTGTGTGTGTGTGTGTGTGTGTGTGTGTGTGTGTGTGTGTGTGTGTGTGACTGTCCAAGTGGGGGGAGAGGACAAACAAGGCTATATAGATATGTTCTCTTTCTCTCTCTCTCTCTCTCTCTCTCTCCCTCTCTCTCTCTCTCTCTCTCTCTCTCTCTCTCTCTCATACACACACACACACATACACACGACATGTAACTCTTGAGCTAATAAATATACCCCAATTTGCATATATGAACACAATACAAAGTTCATTGTAGAAGAAGACTGATATTCCTTTGGAGACGGACCGCACTATGGTTCCTTTACATTGACAAAATACAAAATATCTGAGGTTCCCTTCCCATGAAACTCCCTCTCCTTTCTACCCTCCCTCTCCCTCTCTTCCCTCACCAGGAATAAGAAGTTAGATAACAGAAGGGCAAGGGAACTTGAACTTTCATTTCCCACAGCTGAAGGTATGAATTGAAGTTGTGAGTAAGTGTATCTATGGCTCCCATTTTCTAAAATTTTTTCTTTTGTTTGATCTTCAGGAAAGTGTTTTAAGAATTTTCAAAAGGAAAAGTTCTTATCACAAAATGGCAACAAATCAAATAAACCAAGCCAGTTCTAGATAGCGTCAAAGTAACTGTTTAACACACCACTGCACAGATGGCTTCAAGTTGAGCTCTAGCACAATGGTTGGGCCTGTGTAAGGATTTCCTTCCCTTGAAATATCTTTAGTTTGATTTTGTTTTTAACATTGGATTTGCTAAAATGTGTCAGAAATCCTCAATGCAGTTTCAAGCTCTATTTCTCTCCCTCCTAGTTTGAAAAGTTGCCAGAACAAAAGGTGTCCTAGTTTCTGGGGTACTTTTTGACTTTGCAGATTCTGGGTTTTCAGGCACATGCTTTCTAGGAGATTAAGTAGCACAGAAATTTTTTTTAAAGTTTTTTTTTAATGGAAAAAGCCAATTGCTTTTTGGGTCATTGATTCATCTACAACCATAATCAATATGTCTGTCTCTGTAATTGACATTCATTTTCCTCAATAAGACAGCGTTTGCCAGCCTTGACCTATACCTACCTGGTGGCAAGTACCAGTTTAGAGTTGAAAATACATTGGTCCAAGACTTCTCACTATTGGGAGACCTAGGGAGAACCTAAGGGGATAAGGGAGCTAAGCCACCACTGAGTGGAACTGAGTCGCTGTAGGCATGCATTTTTAAGGAACAGCATCTACTTATATTAGAGGAAGCTGAGGTTCAGACACTACACTGGAAATATCTGAAAACGAAAACAAAAGGTAGATCTGGTGTTCACATACCAGGAACTAGTGCCAAGTGTCATGCTTCTACTTTCAAAGAACTTGTCTCAAAGCTGGGAGCTGGCTGCTGGAGATGACATGGAGAGACCCACAAACAGAGATTTATGAAAGGGGGGCTCCAACCTGGGTTTCTTGTGTTGACCTCCAGAGATGAATGAATAGATTTAAAAATCAATGTGAAGAAAAAATATTGAATTTTGGATGGTTGAACTCTGTTTCCCTTTCTTCTAGGAATAGTAAATTCTGTTACCACATGATGAGCCAATGCAGCAATGTCAGCTTGCTTCTCCATTCTTCTTAAGAACATGGCTTTAAGCATACTCTTTTTCTCATAAGAATAGCAACAATGTGAACAATACTCAACCACAGGGAAGACAATATTTTATTCTTGAATACTTGAGTATGCTTTCCATACTGTAAGGTAGTCATCATCTTTGAGATCCATCATTATTATTTTCATAAGACATTTTGCCAGGCAGTGGTGATAATGCCTTTAATTCCAGCACTCGGGAATCAGATGCAGGAGGATTTCTGTGAGTTCAAGTCCAGCCTGATGTACAAGAGCTAGTTTCAGGACAGGATCCAAAGCTACAGAGAAACCCTGTCTTGAAAAACAAAAAACAAGCAAACAAACAAAAGACAAAGACATTTTGTTTTTAATTTAATTTTATTATTTCATGTAGGACAATGGACCCCTGGTACTGGAGTTACAGACAATTGTGAACTGCCATAGGGGTCCTGGGGGTTGAACCCAGTCTTCTTGAAGAGCATGCAATGCTCTTAACCACAGAGCCATCTCTCCAGCTCTTTCATAAAGCCATTTTGGGAAGCAGGAGCTGAGAAAGATTATGTGCTCAAGGACCAAATAAAGTGTTGCCCTAATGATTTCAGCCCTAGTCTATCAGTCTTCTAAGTTTGTGCTTTTTCTGTTACCAATTATTGATTCAATCCGATCATAAATTATTATTCTAATTAAGTGCTTCAAGCCTTTCCCTTGTGTCATAGTTAGTGCATTTTGACTGCTAAGGTTCATATTTATTGATTTATTGTCTTAACTTTTTATATGTGTTCTTAACCTAGAGGGTGATTTTGAAATCTCTTCAATATTTCTACCTGTGGATTATTTTTTATTTGTCCAAAAATTTGTTTGTGCCTTTTGGGCTGCATTACATTTATTTATTTACCTACTTATTTATGGGCAGCAAGACAGGAGATTTCTAAATATAGCAGGCAGCCTAAGATGTGTGATCTTCCCTAATGTGGAGATTGCAGGCACATGACTTTACCTGGGTGAATTTTAGGAGTGGAAATTTTACTTGCTGTGAAACCTTGAAATTTTTATTTAAGCTTATTAATTCTCAGTTCTTTCAGTCACAAAAATTTGCATTTAAATTATTTATAATATACAAATATCCTTTTCTCTTCATGAGTGATACTTTTTCATAGGCCATTGACGTGTATTGTAATTTAGGGTGCTGTGTATTGAATCCAGGGACTGAGGAAATTTGTTTCTAGCTCAGCATTATTATTAATAAAATAATGGTCATGAAAAGTTTCCTGAATCATTCTGTTCCAAACATTTGTCTGCTAGAGCAGCTGCTCTAAGGGTAATTTCAGACATAAACTACAGTTGCTGGTTCTAGGTAGTTTACAGTGGAATTTGAAAAATTCAAGGAACACACTGGCAATTACAATGATCATTATATGCTTGACTGGGTGTGGTGGTGCACACTTATAAAAGCAGTATTCAGAGGCTGAGACAGGAGGATCATCAATGTCAGGTTAACCTGGACTACATAGTGAGTTGAAAGTTAGTCTTGTCTTCAGAGTAAAACCCTGTATCCACAAAACAAAGCAAAATAAAACAAAACAAAACAGCCAGGGATACAGTGTAGTTGTAGATTCTGTTAGCTTAGTATATTCAAGGTCCTTAGTTTAGTCCCCAACACTGCAAGAAAGAAAAGAAATATGTTGATTTGTACAGACATATGTATTCACCCATATACACATACATGTGTGTATATATCACAAAGACCTATGCTGATACAGGGAAAGACAAGATCACTTTCTTTTGGAGGACTGAAGGAGGACTTCATGAAAATGGTTGCATATGAAGAATGCTTTATCTCTAATTAATTAATTAACTATTTTTTTGTTAGCGTCAATACCAAGAGCCTTGTGTGAATACTCAGAAAGTACCGTCCTGGTGAGCTGCATTTCCAGCCCTTGGGATTTAAGGGGTGTACCTACAGCTTCATTCCAAGAATGGTGGAAACAGACGACAGGCAATCACTTCCTACTCAGGGTCTTCCTTTCTTAAAGTCTGGCCTCGGAAAACCACTTCTGTGTTGTACTACAGGACACAGCACTTATAAGTCTGGACTCTTGGTTTGGCTTCTCTTACTAATTAGCCAGCTCCTTGGGCCAAAGTTTCTTTTTCATAAACTGGAGATTAAAAAAACAATAAAACAAACAAACAAAAACATAATTTCCTGCTGTGTAGGGATGGCTTATGCCTTTAGTCTTCCCAAAGCAAACAGATTTCTGTGAGTTCCAGGCAATCCTGGTCCATACAGTGAGTGGCAGGCAAGCCCAGGATACCTAAAATGAAAAAAAAATCCTCCCATGAAACTAAAATAATATAAAACCACATCTAACTCCTGGGGAGCTAATGCATGCGGAGGTTCAGATTCAGAATTCTCTTGCTTGGGTGTAAGTCTATTCTGGTATTTTCCAGTGGTAAGAACTTGAGCCAGTGTGTCTCTCTGCCCAGAGTTCTTCAATGATAAAATGGAGGTGTTGTGGAAATTGGCCTTGTGGGGCTTTTGTGAATGTAAAATTAGTTAATACGCATATGTGGTAGATTAGTGGCCCTCTCTATACCTCTGTGGATCGCTTTACTCAGTACCACTGTGAGAGTGCTCTCCTCAGACACATGTCCCATCCTTACAGC